AATGCTGTCAGTGTTCCTCCCTACAGAAATCTTAGACGTTAGTAGAGGAGACAGGTGAGTAAAGAGGCAATTGTGGGATGCCAAAGGGTGGGATAAGAGAATAGGTTTGCCATGGGCATGCACGGGAAGAGCACCTACATTGAGACGGGGGCAGGAGGGAGTGGTGGGACACTTCCTGGAGGAAAGGGCATCTAAATAGAAACCTAAAGGATAAATAGGAAAAGGGGGGCCAGCTTCAAAACAACAAACAATTTATTATTTTTTAAGATTCTGTGAGTCAGCTGGCTGGTCTTCGGGTCTGGGAGGGTTTAGTTCATGTGTGCGGCCAGCTGGTGGCTTGGCTGAGTGGATGCCCTGGGATGTCTCATAGTTGATGGCTGTTGCCTAGAGGGTTCAGGTAAGGTCTCTCTGACCTCATCAGGCTAGCCTGGGCTTCCTCCATAGTGGTCTTGGGGTTCCAAAGAGCAACACGAGAGGACAAGCCCCATTACACAAGCACTTCTAAAGCCTCTACTTGTACCACATTTGCGATGGTCTCATTGTCCAAAGCAAGTCACATGGCCAAGACCAGAACCGATGTGGGAGGGGACAACACAAGAACATGGTGCAACGGAAACAGCCACAACCACTACTCATCCCTCTCCTCCTCTCCCCACTAGGATGACGCTGTATATAGGGAAGGATGATGCTGGCTTCTATGTTTCCAAAGCCCTGGTTCACACAGGGGTGGCCTTGGTGGTGAGAAGGGGTCTCCAAGGGGCTGGAAAGAGGGGATGGGGCAGGAGAGCCCCCTCACTCATGACTCTCCATCTTCTGCCATAGCCTCGTGGACTGACCCTGGCCTCCATGGATGGCCCCACCACAGATGAGGTGACACTTCAAGTCTCAGGAGAGCGAGAGGGCTCACCTAGCACAGCTGTCAGATACCCCTCAGGCAGTGTGGCCCTCCCTAGCCAGTGGCTGCTCATTGGTGAGACTCCCTACCTCAAATTTGGAATAGATGACAATGAAGGCTGTGATCCTGGCTTCTGATCTGGAAGACAGAGGTCACCTTCAGCCCATGGACTTTTTCCCTGCCCTTTAGGACACCATGAGCCACCCCCAGTCCTGCACACCACGATGCTGAGAGTCCATCCTACCCCAGGGAGTAGAACTGCTGAAACTAGACCCTCCAAGAGCAAGCAGGCCCCAGCCCTCTTAATGGAGGTCAGTGCTAAAAGGGCAGAGGGCACCCTGGCTGGTTTGACTCAGTGGATAGAGCGTTAGCCCACGGACTGAAGGGTCCCAGGTTTGATTCCAGTCAAGGGCACGTAACTCGGTTGCAGGTTTGATCCCAGACTCCAGTCAGGGCATGTGCCGGAGGCAACCAATCGATGTGTCTCTCTCACATCTATGTTTTTCTCTCTCTGTCTGTCCCCCTCCCTTCCACTCTTCCTAAAAATAAATGGAAAAATATCCTTGGGTGAGGATTAACCTAAAAAAATAAATACATGAAAGGGCAGAGGGCGTGGAGGGAGACCGGCAGGTGAGTGGGCAGCTATAGGACATTTTCCTCAGCCTTCTATGATTAACATTTGGAGTGGGTCGGTTGACCTCACACAATTTCCCAAAAGGAAAACTATTTTTGCTGTTAGATGTGTCAAAAAGATATTGGTCATCTAAACTGTGAAACATGGGTACGGTTTTCTTTACTCTTCTTCAGTGTAAAAGTTACAAAATGGTTATCTAGTGAGAAAATTAAAACAGAAAAACTACAAAAGCATTCTCTCCTAGGAGAGAATTGGACAAGAATCACTAGTACAGTGGGGCCTTGACTTACGAGTTTAATTCGTTCCAACACCGAGCTCGTTAAGGAGCTCGTTAACTCAAATTACTCTATCAACTCAATGCAAAAAATCGGCCGAGAGACAGCTGGTATCTCAAAAAAACTCATTAGTCAGGACCTATGGAAAAGATCAAGGTTCGATTCCTGGTCGGGGCACATGCCTGGGTTGGGGACTTGATTTCCAGTGTGGGGCCTGCAGGAGGCAGCCAATTAATGATTCTCTCTCATCGTTGATGTTTCTGTCTCTCTCTCCCTCTCCCTTCCTCTATGAAATCAACTTTATTTTATTTTTATTTTTTATTGGTTTCAAAGAGGAAGGGAGAGGGAGAGAGAAAGAGAAACATCAATGATGAGAATCGTTGATCGGCTGCCTCTTGCACTCCCCCCACTGGGAATCAAGCCCACAACCCGGGCATGTGCCCTGACTGGGATCAAACCAGCAAACTCTTGGTTCATAGGTGGACGCTCAACCACTGAGCCATGCCAGCCGGGCTATGAAATCAATTTTTTTAAAAAATTTAAAAGAAGGAACAGCCATGATCTGGAATAATAATTCTCAAATCTGATTGCTCATTAGAATCACTGAATGCCCACTCCAGCCCCATGAATTAAGAATCTCTGGAGATGGATACCTACATTTTTTGTGTTGCCTCAAAAAGTATTTTTTAGTGACACCCCGGGAGATGCTGGTCACCAGCTAGGTTTGGAAGCCCAACCTCCTGGGGCACCCTGATGCTTCAGCACCACGGAGAGCGCCCGCTCTGCACCGTGCGGGCTCGCATCACTGCCTCTTCAGCACCACGGAGAGCGCTCTGTCCCCCATCAGGCGGGCCACTCACCCACTGCCCCTTAAAGTAAACCCAGCCCTGTACTGGTGACGAAGGGTGAAGGGCTCCCCCGTGAGAGCAGGTGCTGAGTGAAAGCCCGTGTGTTCCCAGCTCCTGAGTCTGAGTCGGGAGGAACTTTGGGACCTGGAGCTGCACCCTGAAGAGAACACCGCAGACTTGTATCTAGGACTGGGACCCCAAGACCTGCTGGTGGCCAGCCTCACTGCAGTCCTCCTGGGAGGGTGGATTCTCTTCTTAATGAGGCAGGTAAGCCTGTCACCCAACCTCGGGTCTGCCGTAGGGTAGCCGAGGGAGCACTCTGCCCTCCTTTCCAAGACACTCAGCAGCTCCGATTCTGCTCCCTGCCTTCCTCCCAGTGGCGCCCGAGCCCCTGTGCTGTCTATGTTCATGGTCCGGTGCAGGGCGTCTTGGGCACAGCTGCTGGGCCCCCCACGGGCAGGGCCTAGCCAGAGCTGAGCCCTCCTAGGCCTGTGTTTCAGCAGCAGCAGCTGGCGGAGAA